AGGGTAACGTGTGTGGACAGTGCGCATGAGTATCCTGGGCCCCAATGCGAACCCACGAACAGCGTCCTGTCAAAAGCACATGAGGTATTCTGGGAAACGCAACTAACTCGATGTTCTCGCGCCCAAGAATACCGTCGACCACTTTGACAGCAACGCCCCAGTGCTGCTACCAGGTGATAATTGTACCTTCCATGCTCATATCCAGCTCGGAATGGCGAGAGATCGGTAGGGAATTTCGGATTACGATGTACATCGGGAAATATCCCAGCGACCAAGGACGAATAGGACGTTTTTGTTTTGCTGAGGAACAGACACAATGTGTGTCTATTTGAAGTCAATCCCAAAGACCAGATGCCTCTTCTACTTCTCGTTGCACAGCACAGACTTGCATTTCCAGAACATCAGGTACATTCTTCACGTTGGACCAGTAGATTCATAGTCTTGTACAGAGGAGCTTCGCCATACAATGAGCTGTACTGGCGTTTATTTCTCTATTTCCTCCCTCCATATACTACATAGCATGTACACTGCACCGCCCTCCCTGCCCCCTGGCGTTCCCCCACCGAGTCCCCCATGCTTTTGACTCCGCTTACATCGACATGCCAATGAAATGCCACACCGTAGCCAGCCAGCCGCCACACCATGGATGAGTAAGAGAAGGCCCGGGAAATGTTTCTTCGCTGTCATCCTCTTCTCACACTGTCCAAGGACATATGACAAGCCGGGTCCACCCTGCTGCGACCGCGGGTGGGTATAGTAGGACGGCCGCAAGACATCCCGAATATAGTTAAAGCATTTGGCACAACTCCGAGACGTGACGGCCTTTCAAGCTCTCTCTCTCTGCCGCTGCCGCCCAGAAAGAAGATCTTCCCAATTTCTATTACACAGCTCACGTAGAGGGCAGCCGCTTACACGCACCTGCGCATTGCTTTGTCTGCCAATTCTAGATGAGCCTGCTGCTCAGAATAACCGGAGCATGAGCAGGGGAGGGAGACTTTCCATAGTCCTGTCGTAACAACACTCACAACGCTCTTCTAGCCTCGAGCAGAACTGAGAACAGTATGTCCAGTGAGGTCCCCCTGTAGCACTTTCAATGCTACCGTCTTGCTGTTTGGAAAGTGGCTGGGTGAAGTTTGCACGTCAAAGGCCATTGGTCCTTGAGTTGGGTAGTATTCGACGCGTCGTCGGCTCTTCAAGTCCTTTCCGATATCAATCAGTGTTCAAATGCGAGTATTGTGTCTGCTCTCACTAGTACTTATCTTCGGGATTAATTATATCCTGAAATGTCTCCTGGATAAATATTGCACTAGTACTTACTTATCTTGGGCATTAATAATATTCTGGAATGTCTCCTGGATAAATACTGCACAGGAAATGAACAAAGTACTGACCGCCTCCGACATGTGCTGGTGGCGCCCGTTGCTTCTCGCAAGCTGAATAGTTCCACATTGCGTATTCCAGCCTCAAAATTCATGCCCAGCGCACAGAAGGATCATCATACAGAGTACGCGTACGTCCTTGCTAATATGCCTTTCTGAAACACGTGAAGATATTATCGTCGCATCGCGGTAGAAACAGGTACTTTTGTATACACATACGCGGCTGGTTTTCCCATGAATACTGGGCTGTCCATGTATGCTTGGTCCAAACAAAAACATCACGGCGTTTGCCAGAAGAGGTACTCGGTCAGGCGCCATGATGTATCCTGCATGTGTAATTCCTCGCACTGACACCCGTATCAGGCCTCCGGAAAAGGGGTCGTCCAAGCAGGGAGGGAGGGAGTTTGTTTTGTGCTCCATCGAACGGGAGGACAACAGCTTCAGAAGTAGAGTCTGCGGTTGTGGCATCTCACGATACTGCACCAGTAGTCATTGACTCACATGGCCACGATCCATGTCCATACAGTGACAACGAAGGAGGTGGGACAGGATTAGGTGATGGGCAAAGTTAGCCGGGTCCGAGTCGACAAAACCCCACGTCCGTCATTATTGCGCCAGGCTTGTCACACACCCAATGATATGAAGAGGAAACCACATTACAAATGCAGATCAGCGCAGTCAGGTTCGGATCGTCCCAAATGCCCACAGTACCTGGGACAAACAGAAAGACGAGAAGACATGTCGAAATGATCTGGTGCTTGGTCATTATCCAATAACACTACGGATCTCCACACGAGATGGGCCTGCGTGTTGGTCTAGAAGCCTGGGAACATACGATGCTACGCAAATCATACTGCTCTCGGTCAGAGAAGAGGCGACTCAAACGGCCACACGCTCGCAGGCGATCATACAAGGTTTCTCTCCTCAGCCTTGTAATCTCTTTGGCGCGGCTCCATCACACGATAGCCATAAGTGTATGTAATCCACGAGATCAATAACATCGCTAATACCAGTCCATTGAAAATCATGGTGACATGTATAAAACCCGGGTATCAACCTTTCGTGGGTTCTGTATGGCTCACAAGCTGTCGTCATCGTTCCCAGTTATTCCACGATAGTCCAAGCCGACGATAGCGTCACATTCGAATCAACATCTGTGTCTCGAACATAAAAGCTTTCATTGGTCGCGCCGCCCCTGAAAACATATCCGTACCAGTATCTAATTGGGTGTCAGTCTTGACCGAGTGCTCATTCACTTTCTCTCTTCAGTAATCAATCCAAGTACTGACCTTCCACCGGTAGATCCGCTGTTGGTACCTGCAAAAAAAAATCAAAAAAAAATCATCAGTTCCCGGCCCGCGTCCCCATGCACTGTGAATGAGGATATACACATATCTGAGTAAAGGAGAAAGAAGGACATGGCCCACCTTGCCAGGTGATGGAAGACGTGCACGCAGTGTACGTCTCGCATTGTGCAAGAATATAGCTGTCCCACGCGGTTTCGTTCCAGTCCGTGCTGTTCACTTCTGCATTGTAGCCAGCAATGATCTCAGCAGGCCAGAGGTACGATCCAACAACCCAATTCAGGGGAGGATCAAGGGCCACGGGGGCAAAGGTGGCAGCTGATGCGAGCGACGCCGCTGTCGAGGCGAGAATGGCCGCGTCTACGATCTTCATGTCGGCGGCTTTTCTATGTTTGTGCAAGTTCGAAATCGTGATTGAAGGTCTTTCAGATAGAGTCTTGTGGTTCGCATTGAGCATTCCAGTCAAAGATATATTCGTCGTCCTTATCTCGAGACCCCTAATGTCGTCATGCAGCGAATTGTCCTATTCAGGGCTGGCATTTGATCATATTTCCTAGACAAGAAGGTGGTTAACAGGACGGGACCATGTACGATCTGGATCGCCCGGCCTTGCACTCGTTTGGAAGCAAATTCCTGAGATCGTAGCATTCGTGGGCATATATTGCATGTGATATATCGGTGCCCTGGTGTTCTTCACTGCGTACAGACCGGCTAATCGGCTTCTGCGGAGTACTCTCTGCGTGAGAATTGACATAGAACAGTAAATAATATATCAGATGTGCTTATCCACGCATCATCGTTCGAGTTCATGATCAAGTGCAGAATGCAGAACTTTAAAGCGATGTACTGCAGTACCTGTTATTGATGTTGTATCTACCCAAGAGATGAAGGAGACAATTTGTTGAGGTGTTTGTAATCAAGACTGTGATGACCATGAGAGAGGTAATAAAATGATGGAGCTTTATCCTGGAACAGCTCTGATAGCCGAGCATTGAACTCACTTCAAGGTATTTCTGTGATTTGCTGAGCCTCGGCCACGGGAGCTTCTTTTCTACATGGCACTTTTCGGATTAGAGCCAAGAATGGGCCGAGGACTTTTCAAGATCGGTATTATTTCAAGACCGTTGAGGCTCACGAGCGAGGCTAGTATTCCCACGCCCGCAATGATGCTAGATTCTCTCAAGGTCGTGCAAAGTATCGTGCTCGATCACGACTGACCTGCAACAAAGCAGTGTCGGAGGATGTCCAGGGCTGTCAATGGTGTGTCATTGTAGAAAAGGGTGCCTGTAAAAGTCCATGTATTTATGAACGATCTGTTTGCAGATGCCATCGCGATATTGCATGCTCATTTCGTGCGTGCAGATACATCTCTCTGCAAGATGAAGGATAATCAATTGTTACATCTTCACAAGGAGCGCAATTTCAATCAATGTTGGTCTGTAGCCTTGATGACACATGGTGGTATAGTGCGAGAGTCGACCTGGTTTTCATGAAATGTCATGTCCATGTCTACTGGGCCAGACTTGAAAATTTGACTACAACGCAAAAAAGGGGCTCTTGGAACCAGGAGGAATCGCATTTCAAGTTTATACCTGACGTACTGACTAGAAGAAAGCGCTGTTTTTGAACTGCGCACATGAAATTGGCAAATTGAGCTTTCCAAGTTCCTTATTCATTCTAGGGTAAACGCTGATTCTTACTTGTGCGCCAAAAACCTTTTTGCAAAGTCTGTAAGCTTCAAGACATGTCAAAACCTGATAATTGACAAATTATTCGAGTCTGGAGGTTATTGACTTTGTTCAACTCACCAATTCTTCTGGAAAACAACCTTGAACCGCGCGAGCTCTTGCGCTGTTCGTAGTCAGTATCGTTGACGGCAAGCTCAAGTTGGACAGAGTATACAGCCATCCTGATCGCAGAGATACCGAGCTTAGCCTCGTGTTATACTGCCTTACATCTCATTGCCTTCCTTCCTATCTCCTCTTGTAAGCAGGCATATATTTCACTTGGATCAACACACACAAAACATGCGACGTTGGTGAGTTCCACTCTACATTTCGCCTTCAGTGGCCACACGGTTGCCAATCAGAAATTGGTGGACTGCTGGGAGGTTGAACACTGAACCGATATATTCAGAACAACCACCAGCAGACTCCGCTCATGAACGAGAACACTATGAAGAAGATTGAAGGCAGGTCGATTCGGAAGTGGGAGTGAGTCCAGTAAATGCCAGAACGGCCCACTTCGTCGTCGAGGAAGAGTTTCACGACACGGAGCGCATGGAATATAGACATTCAAAAACTGTGGAGTATCAACAGCGCAAATGGTTTAGTGGTAAAATCCATCGTTGCCATCAAAATCTCCTCTGCGAGACTTCGATATTCGATGGGCCCCCGGTTCGATTCCGGGTTTGCGCAAGACTCAAAAATAATTCTTTTGCTCTTTGTGGAAACTCGGTCGACTCGAGTCCATAACCCAATATGGTGATGGCTGGTGCAGTCTTTTATTTTTGTGAGGCTTGGATTCGTCAATGTATATATAGAAAGAGAGAAAGAGAGAGATGGCAATTGTAGATGGCATTCGTGCCTCAGTATTGACAACCAAGTCTTTGTTGTGCATACACACTGCGACGTCGCATCTTTTTCTGGCCCTCGTGTACAAGGCTCTGGACACAATCAGAGACAGATGCTGACCGGTGGTAGCATCAAGCAATCCAACGCATCAAGACGCTTTTGCGGTGAATTCCATAGATACTTGTCAAACAACCATCCAAGAAGTTGTTGATCATCACCTGCTTCCAAAGCACCAGGAATACCAACGACTGAGATCAGCTCAGGACAACAAGGGAAAAAAAAAAAAGAAAAGAAATCACTACAAGGAACGGAACTTATCCTGTCACTCCAACCACTCGGGGCAGTCAATGCACACCATAGTGTCCTTAAACCTCATAGAACCCCCATAGGTTCAGCGGATGTTGCTGACCACGTGCTCCCCGACCTCCATCCACAGAGCCCGGACGACCATGCCTCCACGACCCAAGCACACTCCCAGGACGCGATCCAGCCTCCTCCGCAGGGGCGTCGATCTCCGCTTCCCTCACCTCCAGTCCTTCCACTTCAACCGGTGTTCTGACCTCTGAATGACCGTCCACGCTCGATCCTGTCCGGTTGCTCGTAGCCGGCGAGAAGGTCGTGGGCGTTGTCAGATTACTCAGTCGAGGCGCAGGAGGAGGTGAGCCACAGGGTGACGAGCCAGCCCAAGTAGGCATGCCAACGGGCGTGAAAGTAGAGTCTCGCAACATGTTGGGCTCAGAACTCGAGGGGAAGAATGACAGAGGATCGCTGGTAGGCGGCTGGTAACCTGGAAATGGCGGCATGGGCATTGTCGACGAAGCGGACGATGGAAAGTCGGCGAATGGCGGAATGGACATGTGCGTGCATGTGTCAAAACTGCACTCGAGCTCTGGAAACAGACCACCTGGAACGCCCGGTCCGGAGAGGTTTGCGGACATGGAGAGTGGTGCTGGAGGCTGCGGGGGCGGTGGCGGTGGAGGAAGGTGAGCATGAGGATAATACATGCCCATTTGTGCATACGGCCACGGATGAGGGTATGCAAGAGGCAATGACTGGCCGCTTGTGAGTCCAGGAAACCGAGTATGCGGCGCTGGTGGCAGTAGATGTGGTGGTGGTGGCGGCGGCGGCGGCGGCGCTGGTGAAGCGAAGCGATGGAACGGCATTCCCGCGTCACTGCCACTCTCATTGCGCTGATCAAGAGGGTTGATACTCGGAAAGCCTCGGGGCTCATGGCGCCCAACGCGAACTCGCTGCAGCGGTGGCAGAAAAGGCGAAGGCGACCGGCCTCGCGCTCGCTCATCGCGCCACTCGCGCTCCTCGCGGTCTCCTTGCAGGACAAACTGCTTCCCATAGCGCCTGGTGTCGCGCGCGCGCTGCTTCAGAGCCAGCTCAGCCTCGTCGACGCGCTTCCACGGATTGCCATGCGCGGTCGCCTGGTACATGCCTCGGTCGTCCGCGGCGACCTTGCCGTCGGCGCCGCGGAGGATGAAGAAGAACTCTGTCAGGCGGCCCTTGCTGCTGCGGCTCTTCCAGAAGCACTTGCTGCGGCGCGGGACCTCGTCGTACTCGGCGCTGGCAAAGCGGTAGCTGTACTGCTCGCGCAGCATGGTGACGGTCCAGTCGCGGCGGTGGAAGCGATTGCGCGTCGCATTCTCGCGGTCGCCCAGCAGCGCATCCAGCTCAAACTGCACAGCGCGAGGCAGCTTGCGGATGCGACTGTCGAGATCGCGCTCGTACGTCTGCGGACGGCCGCGGACGAGGCGCGCAGGCAGGCAGCGCTTGCTGGCGGCGTGGTAGCGCTGCATGGCCGCCAAGGTCATCTCGGACAGCTCGTGCTGGTCGTAGGGACGGGTGTTGCGCACGACATACGGATGCGACAGCGGGCGGCGCTTGGTGAAGAGGTTGAGGCCGCACACGCTGGTCTGCTCGACGCGTCCCGTGGTGCTGTCCATGTAGAGGATCCAGGCCTCGTAGACGGGCTGAGAGACGCCTTGCTCTTTGGAGACGCGGCTGCGGCCGGAGGAGGTGTGTTAACGACGACCAAGGACCCTGGGAGTACAGTACAGCACGCATGGCTCACGAACAAGCACTCACTAAGACGGCAGATCGTCGTCCATGCGACAAGTGTCGTACGAATCATAGGAGGCGATGCTGCGGGCATCGTCGTCGAAACTGGCGTCCACAGGCACCTCGAGGGTGTACGCATCAGAGCTGTAGCTGCTGACGGAGGCTCCGTCGTCCGCTGGCCGACGACCTTGCTCTCTTGGTCTGCAAGCCATTTCGGGGGTGCTGCTGCTGCTGCTGCTGCTTGAGCCAGTGTCGATATCAAGAAGAACGAGTGCAGGCCCAGCAGTGTCAACACCACGACACGTCTGGAGCGTAGAAAACAGGTCAGGTCCTCATCTGCACACCACGGGAGAACATGAGCAAAGGAGGGACACAAATAGCAACGTCCTGATCAGGCTTTTGAGGGAGGGGGAAAGCGGAGGAGCTACGCCTTGGCAACTGAGTGAATTGCGCGAGGCTCTGGGTCTGACATCGCCCCGTGGCGGCCGTCTGTCTTACATGCGACCTGCGCTTGGCTTTTGGTGCTCTCGTCTCACCAACCAGACGCAAGATACACACCATCTCACAGATCCCCAGGCCCCAAAGCGGGCATCCTCACTTGATCCTGGACGCAGATGGGGCCAGCCAATGATGGCGTTGGCTTCACCCAATGCAGCATCTGCCCTGCAACGAGACAGGCTGCCGAAGCTCCGGCCGCGTCGTACGTGCTCTAGCTTGGCCTGGCTTTGCTGCTACTACTGCTGCTGCCTGGGAACAGCCGTTTGGCGCTGGCGTTTCCCAGGCGAGCGACAATCCGGGGGATCAACAGGAGAGTGGGCGGGTCAGCTCATGCAGGCTGAGTGTATCCCATCCCACCATCCAAGCGCTCGACGGCCTCTGCACACCATAGGAACCCGCATTAGGCGGCAAACAGTGCACAGCCGCTAACCAGCCGGGCTATTGTATGCACTCCCCGGCAGTTGAAGAGCTCGTATTGGCTCAACACGGGGTCACAGACGGGCAGATGAGGCTGTGGCTGCCCGCCCGCTCTTATCGCATGCGCTGGACCCAGGATCGAGCGGTGGCACAGGGCCACAAAGTGCAATAGTGAGAAGAGAGAGACGGCGCAGGTGCTGCGATGGGATTGGACTCAAGAAAGAGGAGAGCCAGTGGGAAGCGGGAAAGACAAAGTACAAACAGCCTCAGTCTTGTGCACAAAGACCCCAGGGCGGTTCGACCACCAACCTGGCAGCGAGAACGATGACGGCCTGGATTCTGTTGCTGTTGCCGTTGCACAAGGTCCTCACAGCAGAACCCGGTGCAATGTCGCGAGACCAAACTTGCTACAAGTAGCACGGCTTTGGGTTCACTGCCGAGCAGCGCGGGGCGCGCAAATAGACTGCTCGAGCAGACTTCACAAGGCTGGACGTACAGCACCACAACTGGCAGCTTGTGCAAGCTGAGACTCACGGTAGCAGTTCTTATACTTGGCTGCCAGAGGGGCCATCGCAAAGCCGGACACGCCCCAGTTTGGCTCTGATGCAGGCTCTGTGGAGGCTATGGAGGCCCCCTGGAAGCCCGATATCATGCCACAGCCAGCCACTAATCCCACATACTGATCCAGTCGGACCGTGCCCGAACGAAGAGAGGCCCAAGGAAACGTCGTGGACTCTTGGCTTGGCGCATCAGTTGGCGCCATGTGGTCCAGCCAACGTGGGCGTCTTGCTGTATCGGCTGGTAGCATCGACATCTCACATTGGCCCAATACATGGTTCCTTCTTGTGGTGCTTGCTGTTGCAGTCCGCTTGGCAACTTTGTGCAAGTTCGGCCTGGATGAGGCGCAAAGGACGCAAAGCCAAGTGATGGATAGTCGAGTGCAACTTGATCAGGCACATAGAGGCTGCGAAGTCTGCCGAGCATCTATCCTATCGCTACTACCAGAGCTGCGTGTGCTGCGTGTCCCCAGTTACTGGATCCACTGCGGATACTAAACTTTGCAGCATCGTGAAAGTGGAAATATGCAGTATAGCATGGGATTCGCAGCTTTGGAGTTGTGGTGCAAGGCTGACAGCACCGGCTAGGTCGGATCACTGCACAAGGGTCTCGTTCACGACAGAAACTCCATTCCTAGGTCGCCTATATGCATTCGACTAGATCAATATCAAATATGCAATGTTGAAGATTTAAGCTGTAGTATGTAGGAAGGAATGTGCTACTTCAAAGCGCCATGGTTACCGTGGAACTGACCTCCGCAATCCATGGATGGTATACCAAATGCTATTAATCAGAATGTTAATTTTTCTGAAGAGTTCCAGATATGAGACAGAGATTATATTTGGGCTTTCTTTTATACATGTGTGTACCGACTAGCGAGAATCCTAGGACGAAACCAAGGCTCTGAGTGAGTCGAACCTCTTAATCAAAAGACAACGCAGACCACAGTCCACTTCTTTGTAACACACGGCTACTCGATCGAAAGAGCATGGCTATGGACCGATTCAGCCAGTCATAATTATCGTCGCTTGTTGTGGTCGGTATTCTCATGTTTGGTCACATGTCTTGGACGATTTCAACTCTTTCACTCGAGTCGATCCAGCAATGTACATGTACAATGAAGCGCAAACAACCAGGTTGATGCAATAAAGCAAAGAAAATCAAGTCAATACCCTGCCAGACTGCCTCTTTCTCCATTTCTTTCACAAATCTCCTCTCTCTCTAACGGCTTTGTATCCGCGGCCGTAGGTATGCTCTTCCTCCGCTCCCACATGGCTGATCGATCCCGGTAATTCAGACACAGG